CCCCCCCGCCGCCTGCACCATCCCTTCCGTCAGCGTCCCCGTTGCTGGATGTCCAGTCACTGGTGTCCCCGGAACCGTGCGGCGGCGAAGCTCCCGTCTGGGGGCTGGCGTCGGCGCCCCAGCTCTGCGGAGAGAAGCGCTCGGCGCCCAGCACCTCCACCAGCGCGCGCTCCAGCCCGCAGTAGTTGAAGAAGCGCTCCTTCTCCGACAGCGGCAGCGAACACGTGGGGCACAGCGCCCGCTTTCCCGCCGCTTCTGGGGCATCTTGGGGCGCGACCCACGACCCGGGAGCCGCGGGCCGCTCTGTTGGGGTCGGGCTGCTCGGGGCAGTGTCCCGGGGAGCGCCGAGGAAGAGGCGCCGCACCAGACCCTGGCCTTTGGCGTTCTCTTTGTTCACCGAAGCCTTGCAGTCTCGCTTTTGGCGGTAGAAGACGAGGGAGTCAGGCCTCGGCTGCCGCCTGCCACTGCCCCTGCGGGCGGGTCTGGGCGTCCTGGGCGACGCAGGGGCCCCCAGCTCATTGCAGAGGTGCGGGGTGGGGGGCCCGGGACCCCCACGTAGGGCTGGCTCCTGTCGCCGCGCTATCACCTGGTGCGTCTTGACATACTTGGCTTTGTCAGCCTCCAGCCTCTCCACGGCGCTGGGGGTCCGTCCCCTGGACGGGGTGGACGGAGAGGCCAGGAGCATCTTAGCAGTGCTGAGCCCCACAGAGCCCCATAAGCCTGCGGGGGCACACAGCTTCTTCAGGAACCTACAGCAGTGGTGCGCAGCTCCCAGGGACCTGTAAGGACAGAGGGCCGGTCAGGGGGAGGGTAGCACGTCCCTGCCCTCCTGCGGCCATTCCTGGGAACAGGATCAGTCCAGCGTGTGTGTGTGGGGGGGCTGAGGCCAAGGAGCGGAGGCCCTTCCCAGCCCGTCCTCCCAGACTTCAGAGACACTGGATGCGGGTTCCCTGGACATCCAGAAACACATGCCCCTTGGAGGGTGCCCCAGTCTGGCCACAGGGCCGTGCACACAGGCATCGGTTAGCAGGCACTTGGAAAAGGAAATGGGGCTGGTCCCAGCCCAATTCCCGAAAGTGGCCTTAACCGGAAAAAATACCTCTTCCCAACCCAGCAGCTTTGAGCCCAAGACGAGGCTCCCAGCCACAGGCCGTCCAACAGGCCCACCCTTCCCGCTCCAGGCCCGGGGTCAGGGACATAACGACAGGGTAGGAGCCTCCAGCAACTGCTGCCAACCAACCACCCTGCCCAGGCCCCGCAGGACCATCCCGGAAGGAGAGGGAGGGGTTCTCTGCCCGCCGGTCAGCCACCCTGGCCAGCCCCTCCGCTTGCCCAGAAAGCCCAGCTGTACCCACCTGGGTAACCCCTGCCTTCCACAGCATAGCCGAGGAACCTGCCCCAGAGGAGGGGCTGCTCCGGCCCTGCTGACCGTTAGGGGCCAGGAGCACCCAGGCCTCCTGCCTCGGCTCCAGAACTAGTCCAGACCGAGTGTCACTGACCGGTCAGAAGTTCCCGCCGATGTTTTGCTTCTATTCCTGCCTCTCTAAAACCAGGCGCATTTCCGTTAGACGCGGCCTCACTAAAAAGTTCCTTTCGCCTTCTCTTCCCAATCACCTGCACTCCCGGCGATCCGCCCTCGGGGTCCCTGCCCCTTCTCATCCCAGCACCCTGTGACCCTTCTCCCCACCTCCTTCTGCTGGGGAAGGGGCAGGGAGGGGGGCCGTAAATCAAGAACTGCCTGCCTGCCTTGGGAAAGGGCCACCCACGTGGCCGAGCGGCCACCACACAGCTCCCTGGCTCCCTGTCCTGGGCTGAGGATCTGATCATCTGGGGACAACAAAAGAACAGAGCCAGCCAGGGATCAGGGCTGTCCCCTCCCCGCCCTCTGCCTGCCACCCTTCCTCACCCCGGCTTTCTCCCAGCACCCCCAGTGGCCCTGAGTCTCCGCGGAGGTGGCTGGAGACTGGGAACCCAGGGGCAAGCAGAGGCCGGCCAGCAGTGTCCCGTTTCCCAGGAACTATCCTGGCAGTGGGCCGGACGCCCAGGTCCCAGGAGGGCACTGTGCTGGCCTGCTCGTGGGTGCCCTCCTTCCGTCCTCTCCTCCTCAGCTCTGTGCAGGGCGGCTATAAAAAGTCCCTAAACACAAGGACCAAAATAGTCTACCATCCACGGCCTCTCAGACTTCTGGGCTGGCCTGATGCCCGACCTCGGCGTTCCACCAGAGGAGCCTGGCCACAGTCCTCGCACCGTCCCTCAGCCCACCAACTGCAGTCCTGGAGCTGAGGGCCCCACTGGGCCAAGGCCTCGGCTCTGGGCTCTGGGCATGCTGTCCCAGGCTCACCGGCTTGGCCCCGTCTCCCTGCCCTCGGCCCAAGTGCCTGGGCTCCCCGCACACTCACCTCTGCGTAGGAAGCCAAATTGCAGGGGGCGCTGGGCTGGTCCAGACTGAGGGCAGGAGGGACAGCGGACTAGCAGTCACTTTGGTGGCAGCTAACCCTCTCTCCACAGGAAAAGCCAAGAGTGCCTCCACCCCCCAGATTAACCCTCGCCTTCCTGACCCAGAGTGCCTCTGTTAACTCCTTCCTGGGCAGCCTCTCCTTGCTGAGAGCACTGTGGGCCAGGGCCAGCCCTGTCGCCTTGCAGATGGCCCAGCAGGTCCTGCCAGTTTAGGGGTTTGCCACGGAGGCACCCACTGGGAGCCTGGGGCAGAGCCAGGACCCCGAACAAGGACACCGGTCCCCAGGCTTCCTCCAGAGGCCTGGAGAGGAGGAGCCATTTGTGGGGTCGGCCCTCTGCCGGCCTTGGCAGGTGCTCCAGCAGTTTGAATGGATGGAAGGGAGGCAGGCTTCCAGGCGACTTGCTTCCCCTCCGACCCGCTGTGGCAGGCTTAGACCCGTCCAGGTCTGGCTTGGATGGTGTCAAGCCTGCTTTTGGGGTGAAGCCAGGACTCTGCAGCCCCAAGTGGGGGCAGAACGGCTACAGATGTGTCATGAGCTGCCCCAGCAAGCCTTAGCATGAAGGTTCCCGGAGCACCCTGGAGGTGCCTCTGCCCAACACCCTTTGGTGGCAGATGGGATCAGCTGGGAAGCGGGTGCTGAGGGGCAACTCCTGGCCAAGATGAGGCCTTCTGGCCCACTTCCTCCTCTGCCCCAGCTTGGGGACTCCCAGAGGAAGCATGGCTTCTCCGACACTTCATGTCTTAAGGTGCAGCCCTGTGTCCCAGAACTCCCCTATCCTGAGCAGGCAGACCTCCAGCACCCAGAGATCAAAGACCAGTGCCCCTGCTAAGATGGTCCCTACCCATTCACAGCTGGCCCCTTCCCATGAGTTCCTTCTAGCACTTAAAAAATATGGGACCAGCAGTTAGAGTAATGGCTATGTCGCTGGACTCCCATGTAGGCGACCACGGTTTGAGTCCTGGACCCAGTGGCTTAAATTCACATCAGGCGCATGCGCGTGCGTGCCCAAGATCCCGAGAGGAGAAGGGATTGTGGCATGGCCATCCCCCCGGGGGATGATTTCTCACTTTCTGTCTGTCTGATGAGCGCGCGCACCCTATAGCAAAAACCTCTAAAAAAAAAAAAAAAGCATTCCCACCACCAATGACAAAAGATTAAAAAAAACATAGTTCTTGGGGCCAGCAGGTGGCGTGGTGGTTAAGGATGCTGGACCCACCCCCCCACACACATGGCAGACCGCAGTTCAAGCCCTGGACCTGGCGGTTTGCTTTCTCGCTCCCCTTCACCTCACTCTGTGCCCCTCTGGCCAAATAAAAATGTAAAATAAACCAAGTTAAATAAAATAATTCATTTAAAAATCATTATGCCACCTACTGCTACTGGCCCCTCTACTAGCACAGTTTTTAGAAAGAATTATTGAATTTAATCTTATTTAGTATCATTTTAAAATTTGATCAGAGAGCGAGAGGGAAAGTAAGAAAGCAGGCTACTAGGTCTGGGACTTGAATCACAGTTAGCCATGTGGGAGTTCAGGGCCCCTCTTCTGCCACCTTCTATTATTTACAAAGCATGCCTGTCCACATCTGTGCTCTCTGATTGTCCTTGCCCGCCGCAAGGACCCTAGACACGGCTGACAGCCCCTCTCTTGTCGGGCGCAGAAACAGGGAGAGATCCCCAAAGCCCACCCCAAACCACTCCTTCCACTGCACCCTCCACCTGTCGTGCAGGGTGACAAGTCTGAAACCCAGGCCCGGCTCCCGGGAAGAGATTTCTGTTACCTAATTAAAGGGAGGGTTTGCTTTGAGTTTTTGTTTTCCACGATAGTTCCACAGTTGTTAGAGTTCTTTAGGAAATGCTTTCAGCTACATTGTCAGGACAGTCTTTGAAGAGTAGGTTTTACCATTTTCCTCATTTACAGCTGAAGAGACTGAGGCTCAGACGGTGAAATGACTTACCCAAGCTCACCCAGTTAGAAATAACTAACTTTTACTGAGAGATCGTGTGTTAGGGGCTGCCCTCAGCACTCTGCATGACAATGACTGTATTAGCCCTCAGGACAACGCGGTGAAATGTGCTTTTGTGCCCGATTTTCTGGAGGAAGGCGGGTGCGGCCCCTAAGGGGTTAAGCGCAGGGAAGCGCAGGGCCCTGCCCAGCGGCTGTCAATAGCAGGAAGCCTGGCTGGGGGGGTGGCTGTTGTGTCTGATCCCCGTGCAGCCCCCTTCCTCTGCTCTTAAAGGAGCATCCGGGCTGGCTGGAAGGGCAGGCTCTGTTCTGGGAATGGAGAGCAGTGCTGGACTTCAGAAAGAGGGCGTTCAGAGCGCAGCGAGTCGGCCCTCCATAGGGGCGGCAGAAGGAGGGACACAATGCTGCCCTCAGGAGTCCCAGAGGGGCCAGGGGAAGGCCAAAGAGCCTTGCTCTCAGGACTCCCAGTCTGAGGGTGACAGTGCCTGCCCCGGGGTGTCAGTGCGGATTCCTGGGAGACAAGCACAGACCCTCTGGGGCGGGGTCACAGCGGAGAGGTCGAATGAGGTCAGGAAGGGTCTGGTTCTGGGCAGTGAGCCCCAGGAAGCCGGGGTGGGGGGGAGCGGTGTGGGGGGAGCGGAGGGCGAGAGGCTGAGCTGGGGGCCTGGCTCTGCTTCTTCCCTCCTCTGCACTTGCCAAGGGCTGGGTCTCTTTCTGGGCATAGGTCCCTAAGGAGTCCCTTAAAGTGGCTGCTTCCGACCTAGAGCCAGGACCGAAGATGACAGGGGAGGCCCAGTCCCAGGGAGTTTCCTTCCTGTTTCCGCCCTCATTCCCAGATCACCTTGAGGAGTGGGCCTGGGTCAGAAGCTGCTCCTTCCAGGGGAGGGTGGTGGGAGGTCGAGGATCAGCTCCAGGCAGGGTCAGGAATAGTGAGGCCCAGCCTCAGCCCACCCCTGGTCCCAGAGGAGACACCTCCTCCCTCAGCACAGCCAGCCGCAGTCTCGCATGCAGACCCAGCTCTGCCTTTGAGTTTAGTCCTGGCCTACCATTCACTGTGGGCCTCAGGTGGGAACTTCTCGGCTGAGTCCCTTTCTGTGTAAACGGCAACCAGGAGACCTAGCTTGTAAACCGCATTGGGGCCAGCAGGTGGCGTGCTGGTTAAAGCAGCTGGATCCCATAGGGCGGACTCTCTGGTTGGAGTCTCTGACCTGGTGACTTGAAAAACCCGCTTGGGGAACCAGCAGTTAGCGTAATGGCTATGTCGCTGGACTCCCACGTAGTCGACCGCAGTTCGCGTCCCGGACCCGGCGGCTTAAAACTCACGCCGGGTGCATGCCCAAGATTTCTGAGAGGAGAATGGAGGAGAAGGGATTGCCGGTGTGACCATCCCCCCTGGGGGGTGATTTCTCGCCTTCTGTCTCTAAGTCTCTCTCTGTCTGTCTCCAAAAAAAAGAAAGAAAGAAAAACCCGCTTTCTGGCGTGACCATCTCTATGTCTCTCTCTGTCTGGCGAGCGCACGCGCCCTATAGCGAAAAACTCTCCAAAAAAAAAAAAAGGGGAAAAAATAAAAACCCGCTGGGAACGCGTGTGTGCATGCCTAAGATCCCCACAGGAGATAAGAGAAGGGCTTGCCATGTGACCATTTCCCTCTCCCCTCGGGAGGTGCTTTCTCACTTGGCTTCTGTTTCTCTCCAGCTAGCCCACGGCACCCAATGGCAACTTTTTTTCCTCTCTGTTTTTTTGAGAGGTTTTTGCTATAGGTCGCGTGCTCTTGCCAGACAGAGAGCCAGAAAGCGAGAAATCACCCCCCAGGGGGGATGGCCACGCTGCAGTCCCCTCTCCTCCATTCTCCTCCCGGGATTTTGGGCATGCACGCACACGTGCCCGGCGTGAGTTTAAGCCACAGGGTCTGGGACTCGAACCGTGGTCAACTATGTGGGAGTCCAGCGACATAGCCATTACGCTAACTGCTGGTCCCTTTCTCTCTGTTTCTCTCCAGCTAGCCCACAGCACCCAATGGAAACATTTTCTTTCTTTTTTTTTTTTGGAGAGGTTTTTGCTGTAGGGCACATGGGCTTGCCAGAAAGACAGGGCCTTGGAAAGTGAGAAATCAACCCTGGTGGTGGTGGTGGGGGAATGGCCACGCCACAGTCCCTTCTCCATTCCCTCGGATTCTTGGGCACGCACACACAGGCGCTCAGGCACTCAGTGAGAGTTTAAGGGGACTCAAACCGTGGTTGACTACATGGGAGTCCAGCGACAGCATTACGCCAACTGTTGGTCCCCCCAATGGCAACTTTTTAAGAGTGGTATTAAGATGCAGAGAGGGATGGGCACTGGATTCCCACAGGGCCAGCTGAATGATCTGAGTCCAGGATCCAGTGGCCTAAAACTCATGCAGGTCCTTGTGCATGTTTGCCCCAAACTCCAGGAGAATGGAGGAGAAAGGACTGTGACCATGCCCTGTAGCCGAAGGAAAAAAAAAAAAAAAGGAAGAAAAAGATGCAAAGAGGTGGGGGCTGAGAAAGCTCATGGTCACTTTGGGGTGCTCCGGAAAAGCCAGATGCATCTAGATGGCCCCTTAGCTTCCCTGCCCACCCTTTCCCCACCCCTCCGGCCGGCCTTCTTCTCAGCCGGCCACAAATCACCGGGCACCTGCGCCTGCCGTGGCGGCGCCGGCAGGGCCTCCCCGTCCCCGGTC